TCATTTACTTCAAATTGCAACAGTTATTAAAAACGCTAAAACGGTCAAGCGCGGCACCAAAAAATATTCTCCCAACAACTAAAACGCAAGCAAACGGCGGAGAAGCGAAAGCGAAAAAAAAACGAAAAGAATGCACAGCTGCTGCTGCTTGTATGTGTGTATGTATGGCTGTAAGTGCTATGAACCACAGCTTGGGTTGACGAACCAACGTTTTGGCGCTTGGATTGCGTTGCAATGTGTGCATGTGTCAGCAACGAAAGCTCAGCTGGTAGCTTTGAGAGGTAGAAATATTATTTACACTGGATCGGAGGCTGAACGCAGGAGCTAGCTCGGATCAAATTAAACCTTTGGAGAAGTTGGAGGCCACAACCGTTGGCAGAACGAAGTATGGTTTAATTTGGAGCTAGAGCGAGAAATTAATACATATGTATGTACATATGCCACGGGAACTCGGACTGGGATGTAAAACTCGCACAAAATCACTGCACTGGTGTTGGGCACACTGAAGAGTACTTATATTGAACTTGGAGCGATCCGCCGTTGCTGGCTGAGGTAAGATTCTCCTTATGGAGAAGGCGAAGATCCGGCTCGAAGGACCAATGTTTATAGTGGGGCGGATCGAAGATCAATTCTCCAACATCAAAATCATTGATCCAGTGAAACTCTTAGCAGCCGTCGTGAGAAATGAAAATACTGCTGTGCTTCGTGGTATGGAGGTTGTTATTTGGGTCTGTGGTCTCGCGGTAGATCGGCCGTTTGAATCGGTGGTGGAAACGTAACTAAGCCTTATGATCTATGCTCTAGGATCGTGGATCGTAAGTCTCCCGAGCACCCCTGCGAGCGCGCGAGAGCGAGTTGAAACCGGAGCGCACGGAGTTGGCACAGTGCTTGGAAATTATTTGCTGCTGGCTTGAACAAGTTGGAAAATTCTTTTCTGTGTGATGCAAGGAACTTGATTTTAAGATTACAAAATCTGGCACCATTTCAAATGGGTGTATCTTGTTTGCACAACTTAATGTGTTGATAAGTTGGACTTTCCAATAGCTTAAAAGCTAATATGCTTTCGAGTTCTCTTCAACTGCAGACTTTTTGCCAATTCAATTATATTGCTTAATATGGAGTCGCTATCCACTAAGCTAGTAAATAAGCCGATACAATTTTTATATTCGGTATAATCGCCACTAAATTTGGCAATTTTACCTGTTTCAATTGTCTACTTGTAGAAATTGATGTGTTTTTTACCGAGTCATTGGCTGCCCTTTGTTCGAATTGCGCAGCCATCGACTTAAGCGTGGATTTAGTCACGATACATAATTCCTCAAGTTCGGCTTGAGAAGCTAAATCAGGGTAGACATATTCAATTTCTAATTGTAGTTGAAAGCCCTTGTAATATAGGACTCTAAGATGTCCATGCGGTACTCTATTAACGCCATTGTGAATGACGACTATTTATCTTTCAGCCTCTGCGTTGTCGATTTGTGCAGAGCTAGACATTCTTCGACGTTTTCCAGGCATGTTAGTTAATTACAATTTGAAATATTTAGCCTGTTTCGCCAGACGAATTGAGGAAAAATCACATAAGCCTGCTACCCATAGAAGCCAGAATTGGCGCGGTAGTACCCAGCAGAAAAACTAAACTATACGAAAATTATAATCAAGGTGGTCAGAGAAAGAGTCCCATTATTCTGAAACTCAAGGGGCGGCCAGGATAAGGCCAGCTCGTTTAGTATTTTAAGTTCTCATTTATTTCATTCGTGTCAAATCTTATTATACCCGATACTCAAAATGAGTATTGGGGTATATTAGATTTTTGGTGAAAATGGATGTGTGTAACGTCCAGAAGGAATCGTTTCCGACCCCATAAAGTATATATATTCTTGATCAGCATCAATAGCCGAGTCGATTGAGCCATGTCTGTCTGTCCGTCTGTCCGTCCGTCCGTCTGTCCGTCTGTCCGTCCCCTTCAGCGCCTAGTGCTCAAAGACTATAAAAGCTAGAGCAACGATGTTTTGGATCCAGACTTCTGTGATATGTCACTGCTACAAAAATATTTCAAAACTTCGCCCCGCCCACTTCCGCCCCCACAAAGGACGAAAATGTGTGGCATCCACAATTTCGACGATACGAGAAAACTAAAAACGCAGAATCGTAGAAGATGACTATATCTTACAGAGTGCAAAATCTGAACCAGATCGTATAATTATTATAGCCAGAATCACGAAAAAAATTTCACTCTTTCTCGCTCTGTCTCACTCTAACACACAGGTTTCATGGTCGGTTTTGCCAATTGCAAAATATGAGTTCAAGGATCTCAGAACCCATAAGAGCTAGAGCAACCAAATTTGGTATTCACACTCCTGTGATATCGGACCTTGACCGTTTTGTGTCAAAATTTCGCCACACCCCCTTCCGCCCCCGCAAAGGACGAAAATCTGGGGCAACCACAAATCTCAGAGACTATTAAGGCTAGAGTAACCAAATTTGGTATCCACACTTCTGTTAGATCTCACTATAAAACGTATATCTCAGAATTTCGCCCCACCCCCTTCCAACCCCCACAAAGGACGAGAATCTGTTGCATCCACAATATTGCAGATTCGAGAAAACTAAAAACGCAGAATCATAGAGAATGACCATATCTATCAGATTGCTGAGTCTGGATCAGATCAGATAATTTTTATAGCCAACAGGAACAAATCAATTTGCATTGGCTACGCAGCGCCCGACGTCACGCACAGACTGATTTTCTGTCTCTCTCGCACGCACTCTTTGTCGTGTCGTTTTTTTATTAGCGGCGTCTGCCGGAGGAGAGCCATACTGACTTAGTATCGGGTATAACTGTAGAGTTGCAGTGTCCGCAGCAACTCACAACGTTCCCCCTCGTTTTTTTTATTATAGATATATTATCAAAATTCGTCGGAATTATAGCAATTAATACATATGTATGTACATATGCCACGGGAACTCGGACTGGGATGTAAAACTCGCACAAAATCACTGCACTGGTGTTGGGCACACTGAAGAGTACTTATATTGAACTTGGAGCGATCCGCCGTTGCTGGCTGAGGTAAGATTCTCCTTATAGAGAAGGCGAAGATCCGGCTCGAAGGACCAATGTTTATAGTGGGGCGGATCGAAGATCAATTCTCCAACATCAAAATCGTTGATCCAGTGAAACTCTTAGCAGCCGTCGTGAGAAATGAAAATACTGCTGTGCTTCGTGGTATGGAGGTTGTTATTTGGGTCTGTGGTCTCGCGGTAGATCGGCCGTTTGAATCGGTGGTGGAAACGTAACTAAGCCTTATGATGTGTGCTCTAGGATCGTGGATCGTAAGTCTCCCGAGCACCCCTGCGAGCGCGCGAGAGCGAGTTGAAACCGGAGCGCACGGAGTTGGCACAGCGCTTGGAAATTATTTGCTTCTGGCCTGAACAAGTTGGAAAATTCTTTTCTGTGTGATGCAAGGAACTTGATTTTAAGATTACAAAATCTGGCACCATTTCAAATGGGTGTATCTTGTTTGCACAACTTAATGTGTTGATAAGTTGGACTTTCCAATAGCTTAAAAGCAAAAATGCTTTCGAGTTCTCTTCAACTGCAGACTTTTTGCCAATTCAATTATATTGCTTAATATGGAGTCGCTATCCACTAAGCTAGTAAATAAGCCGATACAATTTTTATATTCGGTATAATCGCCACTAAATTTGGCAATTTTACCTGTTTCAATTGTCTACTTGTAGAAATTGATGTGTTTTTTACCGAGTCATTGGCTGCTCTTTGTTCGAATTGCGCAGCCATCGACTTAAGCGTGGATTTAGTCACGATACATAATTCCTCAAGTTCGGCTTGAGAAGCTAAATCAGGGTAGACATATTCAATTTCTAATTGTAATTGAAAGCCCTTGTAATATAGGACTCTAAGATGTCCATGCGGTACTCTATTAACGCCATTGTGAATGACGACTATTTATCTTTCAGCCTCTGCGTTGTCGATTTGTGCAGAGCTAGACATTCTTCGACGTTTTCCAGGCATGTTAGTTAATTACAATTTGAAATATTTAGCCTGTTTCGCCAGACGAATTGAGGAAAAATCACAAAAGCCTGGTACCCATAGAAGCCAGAATTGGCGCGGTAGTACCCAGCAGAAAAACTAAACTATACGAAAATTATAATCAAGGTGGTCAGAGAAAGAGTCCCATTATACTGAAACTCAAGGGGCGGCCAGGATAAGGCCAGCTCGTTTAGTATTTTAAGTTCTCATTTATTTCTTTCGTGTAAAATCTTATTTTTTTATTATAGATACATTATCAAAATTCGTCGGAATTATAGCACTTGACCTAAAAAAGGAAATGCAATGATTGACATTGCTAAAAATATAATAAAGAAAGATTATTGTTCAGAACCTATTCTTTTCACACGTTCGCCGAACATTAATTACATTCACTTCGACGACACGGATGTCCAAGTGGCCGTCAGGGCATCATCTAACAATATGATCGAAAATAGAATAAAAGCATTCGCAGACTTAGATAAGGCTCTGCCGTACAAGATTAATACTATAGCAACTATACGTACAAACGGGGAACCGGTTTACGCAATGCTGTACCCACATCCCGTGGGCGTTTCCGATTCTGGCGAACGGCACTATCCGACCCTCAAGGTCCCCCTACAATAACCCGACATGGGTCGTTGATAGAAAGAGTACAGACAAGAACGGTGTCAAAAAGTAAATGCTGGTTATTGATTTCAGGAAACTGAATCAAATTACGATTGATGGTAAATATCCCATCCCCATAATTTCGGCTATCCTGTCGAATATGGGTAAGGCCCAATATTTCACAACATTGGACCTGAAATCAGGCTTTCATCAGTTCAAGCTGGCGGAGAATTTTCCGTTAAAAAATTGATATTTAAAAAAAAATCGAGTTTATTTAAAGAAGTATTTGAATCCAGACAAATCGAATTTATGCACTGCTCGTGACGATTCGGATACGAACAAAGCACTACTTGACCTCCTTGACTTGCAATCCTGAGCGCGAAGATTGCTTAATTTTGTCCGCTTTTTCCTTATCCTGTACCACTAGCGTGTACAAAAAGCGCGAGCAGCTGATATTGAATTTAGTATTCGTAGGATTCTTCTTGATTTTCACAGCACGCGCATCTGAACGACGTGATTTTATAAGAAAATCTTGAACTTCTTTTATTTCTCGTGGCATGTTGAGTTATTTCTGCAGTTTCAACTACAATCTCGAAAATTCCGTATTGTTCGGTCCAAAGCAGAAAAGGAAAGGGGAAAGGAACAACGGGAAGTCTGAGTGTTGTAGACTTCCGTTTGGGCTACAAAGCTCCTCTTGTATTTTCCAGAGGGCTATCGACGATGACTTTAGAGAGACAACAAAAGATCATTTTATGGATGTCGACCCAGTCGATATTATAAGTCTTCATGAGCCTTGAGGATATCCCAGGAAAAATGCAAGTTAAAAGGAAAACCGTAGAATACTTGGGAATCATTGTATCCAGAGGCGGATAAGAACTTCACCCGAGAAGCTGCAAGCAACAACAAACTTCCCAACCCCAACCACACTTTTCGACCTTAGATCATTTCAAGGCGTTGCAAGTTACTATCGTTGTTTCATAAAAGAATACGCCAAGATCGCCAGGCCCCTTACGGACGCTCTCAAAGGAGAAAATGGAAAAATTAGTAAGAACCACTGACCGAAAGTGAGTATAAAGCTGTCCCAAAATCAAGTACAAACATTTTCGAAATTGAAAATGCGGGACCCATATCAGGCTAATAGCAAATTGCTGAGCCATCTCGTGAAGAGGTGGCCATTTTTCGAGGAAATCGCATTTGGTGATTTGATCGCATCTTGGCTATGTCGCTATAAATGTATAGGTGGGTTGCCGCGCTTGAAGGCAGTTTAGAACCTCCCTGATCGCTATATCTTCCGCCTTGGAGACGCTATATTGATTTGGTAGCTTAATTGAGAGCCTTATGTTTAGCTGTTCATAGTAGATTCCTCCTCCGACTCTGTCGTACAGCTTCGATCCATCCGTGAAGATGCTTATGGCCCCATCTGAGCCTGGAAGTCCCTCGAGCCATTCGTCTCTGTAAGGGATGATTGTATTGTAAGGTGTACTCTCTTGGAACTTGGTAGTCCATTTTAGCGGGGACGATGTTGCTCTTGTCTAGTATGGTCGAGTGGCCTATGCGCTGTGGCACCTATTGATACATAGGGCGGCAGTTCTCTGAACTTTGCCAAGTTGTTTGGTGATCGTCCTTTTTGATAGGGCCAGCCACCACACCGTAACTCCGTAGAGTAATATTGGTCTAACTATTGCTAGATATATCCATTTGACAATACTTGGGTTCATTAGCCCAATGCATTGGGAATTCCGCCCAGTGTGCAATGGCTTTCTTACATGTGCAGAGTGAAGTCGTTGCCTTCTTCAGTCTATCTTTGATATTTAGGTTCCAATCAAGCTTCTTGTCAATTATAGTTGATAATTATCAACCCTAAGTTACTGGTACTGTCGCTTAAGGACAGCTTTGCGGTCATTAAGTCGCAGAGTGTTTGGGGATATTTTCCCGATAAGATAATTGCAACGTCGTCCGCGTAAGCCATGACTTTGCAGATCCCCCTTCCAGGCCGCATAGAATCTTGTTGACTGCTATGTTCCACTGAAGAGGAGACAGGACACCACCTTTCGGGGTGCCTCTGTTGACATGCCTTGACTGGGCGGACGGTCTCATCGATGTTGTCACTGTCCTGCATATGAGCAATGAGCATCACCAAGTGACGGTGCACCCCCAGGTCAGTCAGGGCTTCTGTAATGGCGCCCGGTATAACGTTATTGAAGGCTCCCTCAATATCGAGGAAAGCCGTTAGCGAGTACTCTTTGTGATGCATAGATAGCCATGCTGTGCACTTGAGTGCACCTGAGGTCTTATGGTTCTCTTCAGTTGCAGCCCGCCAGGTCTCTCAAAGGTTTTGAGGAAGAACGACGATAGACTGATTGGTCTTTAGTCTTTTGCAATTAAATGTGAGGATTTCCCTGCTTTGTGGATGAAGACTATCTTTGTCTTAAGCCAAGCTCGCGATATTGCACACACAGCCAGCATCATCCTGAAGATACCTTAGCCGGTCCGGGGCTGGCGATTTAAACGGTTTGAGGCTGTTTATTGCCGGCTTACGTTCCGTTTTGTGAAGATGTGATCCATCGAGGTTACCGATCCCTCTCGTTAGTTGTACACCAGGGCAAAAGCGTGTAGAGTTGAATGCGTAGGGACTCCTCACTGTAGTTGGTCCACGTACCATCATTCCTTTTAAGATACGCTTCCGAGGGGTTAGTTTTCGAGAGGATCTTGCGTAGCCTAGCGGCCTCTGACGTTTCCTCTATTTCCGAGAAAAACTTTTTCCTTTTAATATAGTGCCAGATTGATTTTGTAGTCTGCCCAGTGGTTCTTTTGATTTCTATTTGTTTTGACCACACGGAGAGTTTCTTTTTCCCCATAGGATTGCTAGAGGGGCATGCTGCCGTGCTATAATTATGGAGCAGAAAGATATTTAGTTGCTTTCTGGCCAGAATACTGGAGCGGGTTTTACTTTCATTTTGAGGTACAATCATCTTTACTCCCTTATCCTTAGCCCAAAAACCTTGTCTCTCACAATCCAAGATTCCTGGACTAGGACTACGTCCGCTCAACTCTCTTCAAAGCAGAGTATAAGAGCAGCGAATGCTGCTGTATAGTAGTGGAAATTGATCTGAAGGAGCCTTAAGGACATCCTTTGAGATCCCCACCATTATATGTGGGTGTCTAAGTCGTCTTCGACTTCCTCGTCTGACATATCACCTGAAATTCACGTCTCAGCGTGCTGTCTTTGAAGTAGCCTTCCAGGTCTATCTCCGTATCGTCGCCGGATGCTTCGATTTCCGAGGCAGCGTCTTGCTCGACTGGCTTGTCGACAGGACGCGCCCTGGCCGCTGCATCCGACTTGTAGACCATTACGGTCATTACGATGAACCCAAAGTTTGGCAGCCTCAATCGGCGCCAGTGACTCCTTATTAAGGACGCCCACCGCTTGGTTTGTAAGACCCTGTGACAACTACACATTGACCACCTTCCAGTCCGATGTTGGAAGGTAGGGGTTGCATCTCTGCAGTATTTTCAGGATGTGATCCGGCTCTTTAATGGAGGCGGGCACCCAGACTCTTGCCCTTGGTCTACTGGGAAATTTGCTCCACTCTACAGTGACGAGCTTCGCCCCTGGGTAGACCTCTCCGACTTGCGCTACCGCTGCTTTGTACAGCTGTACGGGGCGTTCGTTTTCGCAGGCTATAATTTTGTTGCAGCCCTGTCACCAACCCATGTCCTTGCAGACTGGAGGGGACCGTGCTGCTTTTCCAAAAGCTCAAATCAGCGTTCGGCTAGTGCCGCTTCCACCCACTTTCACTGGTTCCTAGTTCTTGAGTCTGCGCTGCCTTTATCCAGGATGCCAATCAGCGTTCTCTCTCTGACGATCTGCGCGAACGATGTGTTTGGCAGTACTCTTGGTGCTGGCCCAGGAGTGCCCTTCGAGCGTTGCCATTTTGGCTGAGGGGCCAAAATCGCTTCTTCGGCGCTTCTGTGCGAAAGTTCGGCATCACCTTCGAAGCCCACTTCACTTTTTTGAGCCACATGACCGTTGGGCTGGACATCTGGCTTGTGCTCTGCCGACGGACTATGTTACCAGCACTTCTCCTTTCGGCGTATGTAAATGTTTTGCCTTGGACGCTAGTCGATGGCAAGTCGTCCCCCGCCACTTTACCAGCAGGCAGAGCAGACACAGGATTGCATAGCCACTCAACCAAAGGATCGGTCTTGGGAGTCGTTTTACCACCCACCCCGAATCCGGTAATGTTCTCCCTAGCGTCTTCCGCTGCGCAGGGTTTCTCTGCTGTGTTGCGGGCTAGGACAGGCCTTTTGGTCGCTGCCTTTATATGTTTGGGATTTGGGGACTGTCAGACTCATTTTTGTTTTTTATTTGTTTCTTCTCACCGCTTCTCACCATTCTGTGGTCTTTAAAGAAACTGCGAAACTATCTTTATTGATATGCAATGACTGCATCTTACAATTTTCGATGCACCATGAAGTGGTCCGTGTGACTCCAGCAGAAGACTTTTAACACCGATCCCAGGCACACCGCACAGGTACAGGGAATTATAATTCGAGCATAATATTCTAAACGGTTCATGCAAGGAATAATTTTATCTACAAAGTGGAAGGGACAACAGTATATAGTTTCTAGTGACTCTAATTGGAATCGTGAAGTTTATGCGACTCAACAGATCACGGTATCGACGACTTGAACAAGTTGTGCATAAAAATCACAATAAGCATTATTCTACGGTCAAGTAAGCATGGGAGGTTTACTAATAGCAATCTACTAGAGTAAGATGGAATTCTCACACCCGCATCTCAGTTGAGGACCCGTAGAGAAAGGATAAAAAGTTTTTCTGGACTGATTCTTTACGGTCCTCGTGTAATTTGTACTGAGGGCACCATACACAGGAGCAGTATTCCAAGATCATACGAGCTAGCGAGATATAGAGAGTCCTTGTTAAAAAGGGGTCGTCAAATTCCTTTGACCACATCTTTATAAACCCAAGCACGCCCATGACCTTATTTACCATGGTTGAAACGTATTCAGAAAACTTTAGCTTGGCGACATGTTATATAAGAGACCACCCACCAGGGTAATTCTCTCAAGAGAACTTTCATAACGATGAAATGTCATTACTTTGCATTTCGAGGCATTAAGGTGTAACAAGTTTGCACAACATCATGACTGAAAGTTATTGAGATCGGATTGCATGCGAGAATGAAATGAAATTTTCTTATACTGGACACACCCCTTAACATCATCAGCATTCTCGAGAGTATGTTAATACTAAAGGCAGGTCATTAATAAAGAGTGTAAGAAGTAAGGGGCCAAGATGGCTGCCCGTATACATGAGTATTCAAGAGTGTGTTAATACCGAAGGCAGGTCATTAATAAACAGTGTGAAGAGTAAGGGGCCAAGATGGCTGCCCTGTGGTACTCCAGAAGTAATCTTGACTGGTGAAGAGAGGGAGTCCGTAGATATGGAATAGCCGATAATTTGGATATACCTCCATATTTATTTTCATCAGACTAACTTTTTTATAGAGAGGAATTATAAACGATTCCTTCCA